TAATTCCAAGACCATCTCGGATTCTTCAGCAATTTGTGCCACGGCAAAAGACAACGCTTGACTCGGTCACTGGGGCTGTCAAACTTCGCATCACAAATGAACTTCAATTTCTCATCTGGTTCAAGTATATGTACTGCCATGACTTGACCATGCTTCATCCACAGCTGGGCGAAGATTGTGGCGTTGAATTCCATAGCGCACCTTCTTGCTGCCATGCAGGAGTATGTTGAGAGAAGTGAACATATTTTTACTAAAAAAAAAACAGCCACTGAAGAGGATAGCATTAGCAAGAGCCTTGGGTGAATTTCCTGCAGGTACACGTTGTTGGTAGGTCTACTGGTCGGTCTCCATATCGTCAAGTTCAGAAATCACCTGTAGGCTGTACTACACATCTTGCAGAAGGGATCCTGATCGAAAAATTTTCTGATCATAAAATTCACTAAACTGAGGGCGAGACAAATAGTCAGTACTCCCCGATTCCGTCTAGCTGCTTTGATCAAGTGATGCTAACAAGCTCCCCGTTGTTACTTCCAGCAGCTTCACTTTCCCTGCGACAGCGGCTATCAACCTTTCTGTCCATCGTCGACAATTATCACACATTCAACATTCTGCATTTGTCAGCACTGCACTGGGTGAATATGTCTCGAGACGAATTTAGCGGATCAACAACGCTTTGATGGAGATAAATTCTCCTCTGGAGGACCTTCAGGGTACCTGGAAGGGTATAGAAGACGGGATCGCTCACGACGTTGAGAGAACATAGAAAACAACCTCCTCTTCGATTGAAAATTGGCCAAAAAGTATGTGAAATGTATGTGCGCAGATGCATTTCCACTGGCAAGCTAATCCCTCATTACGTCATCAGCGCTCGCTCGGCCGAAATTCAAAAGTCGTCTTCCTGCTCGACTCGATCGCTTCTGGAGACTCGTTCTTGTTCGAGGGGTCTTCTCTTTCACCAACCTTCGTCTTGGCATCGAAAACTCGGCGTCGAAAATGAAGCCGGAGTGCCCCTTTAATAAAAACTCGGATGTTGAGCCAATAGTAATTATGTAAAGAGAAAAGGACCTATAAGTTACTAGTTATGACTAACAGTCTACCAAGGTAACGAGAGAATATACAGTCACGTTGTCACCGTAACGTTCGACATTCTTCGTTGCCGAGAGACATGGCTCGTGCACATCTTCGTGGCGCATCCCTTCCCCTCATAAGAACTTTCCGCACCCGAGCCTTCAAAGCTGGAAGGTTGTTGGTTTGCGCTTCGTAGATGTGTTGGAACCAGATGTCAGGTCGTCGAATGTCTCAATATCCGACCTTGTCATTTTTGCCTTATTGTCGCACTATCTGACTGTATATTCTCTCGTTGCCTTGGTGAACTGTTAGTCATAACTAGTAACTTACACATGTACATGTAGGCCCTTTTCTCTTTACATAATTATTACCAAGAGTTCATAACCCCCAAGAGTGTGCAACTCCTGATCAGTCCCTGTATGGAAGCCCGCTCGGCGGAATTCCTTCATTGCGTCATTTTTGGTGCAGTGCGATGAGTCACGCCGATGAATTCTTCTAAAATTTACAGTCAAACCAGGATGCTTCCCCAGGGTAAACTGCCTAAACTGCGATCGATTCTAGTCTGAGTCTGAGCCTCAAGAAGCAAAAGTGAAACAAAGCACACGATCTTAAAGGGGAAGTTAAGGCAAAAATTAAAATTTCACCAGTTGTAGTCTTCGGGGTGCTGAGTCGAATGGTCGTGGTCCGAGGAAGCTGAGACGCTCCCTTCCTACTTGAATCCCAATCGAACTCGCGCACTTCCACCGAAACTGGGTGACTGCGCCCTACGAGATGGGGATTTGTATGCAAAATGTCACTAAAAGCGCCATTTCGTTCTTATAAAAGCACGGATGACCGCGATTGGCCCATATGTTGTAGTCTTTTGGACGCTGAGTCGACTGGTTTTGGTCCGAAAAGGCTGCGATGCAGCGCTCCTCCTTTATTCCCAATCGAACATGGTTGAACAAGCGGTCACGTGCTCCTGCGTACGCCAGTCACCTGGTCACCGTGCCTGCAGGGTACAACTTACTAGCCTGTTTGACCTTTTTTGGGTGCAGTCCTGTCACTCGAGTTGAACTCGAGTTGAACCTTGGTGTGAAAGTTCTCACCTGCTGGCGTGGTGACCAGGTGATTTGGGCACCCAGGAGCACGTGACCGCTTGTTCAACCATGTTCGATTGGGAATAAAGGAGGAACGCTGCATCGCAGCCTTTTCGGACCAAAACCAGTCGACTCAGCGTCCAAAAGACTACAACATATGGGCCAATCGCGGTCATCCGTGCTTTTATAAGAACGAAATGGCGCTTTTAGTGACATTTTGCATACAAATCCCCATCTCGTAGGGCGCAGTCACCCAGTTTCGGTGGAAGCGCGCGAGTTCGATTGGGATTCAAGTAGGAAGGGAGCGTCTCAGCTTCCTCGGACCACGACCATTCGACTCAGCACCCCGAAGACTACAACTGGTGAAATTTTAATTTTTGCCTTAACTTCCCCTTTAAAGACAAAACTATTTATTTTTTCGATGCAATGGTGACTCTTCATCGCCTTCTTCTTTCACCAGTGCATGCAGTCAGTCTCTTCAAGAACAATTTCTTCCCCAGGCCATCGGCATATTTCCGGTGCTTTCGTCGAAGATGATTTCAAATGGTTGAGGAACTTGAGAGAATACGTCGAAGGAGCATTTTCGGCTGAGTTACGTGCTGCGACCCACAGTTAATTGGGAACTCGTGGCCTGGCACGAGGAAAACATGGATGCAGTGAATGGGATTTTCGGTCTTTGACCACTTGCTGGTGAGCTGATCTACTCACCTCCCACCGCTTTAGGAGCTGCATCTGCGCCTTGATCCTTGAAGGGTGGTGGCGTTCCTACGGATGCGGAAAACTAGGCCTTGACAGATTATGCTAGCATAATTTTTCGCATAATTCCTACCAAAATCGAATAATAGCATAATTCGAGGCAAATTGCATACGAATCGCATAAAATTGGAATAATCCGCCTGTTCGCATCAAATTCCATACAGTTGTACATGTTCTACAAGTATAAGTACAAGTAGATGCACCAGAAAGTTGTAGGTTTACGACTCCCTTGATAACATGTCCAGTCCACTACAATCAGTGATGGTCGTAGCTAAATCGGACGGTGCGTGGAGCCCGTTGAACTTTTGCTACTACAGTACAACGCCCTCTACAAAAAATTCCCCTGTTATTTTGCACAGAACCATTCTACATTACATTGTACATTAGCAGCATATGTGAGCATAATGCGGCATAATAAGATAACTTTTAGCATAAAAATAGCATAATTCTGCAATTTTTTCAGCAATGCGAAAAGCATATTTTCACGAAAATATTAGCATAATCTGTCAAGGCCTACGGAAAACCCGGCTTCCAGCCGAGTCTCACGCGAACCGTGAAATTTTTTTTTTTTTTTTTTTTTACACAGCTATCAGAATGATTGTCCTCGACGGCAATGCAATATTTTTAACAGCGTCCTCACTTCTTCCTGTCGCGATGTCCATGGATGCTTGGCTGAGAAAGAGTTTGTTTTTGAGAAAGTAGATCTACGACTTGTACGTGCGAAATGTCTTCAAAAAAAGCTTCGAAAAGTCGAGGCTACAGCCTTGAGTTAGGAGCGGTTCAGGGTATAGTTTCCAGAAATCGCAAAGAACCCAAATTTACCTCGGATGACAAGCTGCGCATGACGTAATGTAGGAATTTCGCCGAGCGCTGAGTCTATGCCCGTTGCACACACTCTTGGGGGTTATGAACTCTTGATATTATTGGCTCAACATCCGAGTTGTTATAATAAGTACGAGGAAGTTGCACCACCAGATCTACATGTACATGTACGTCACCCCAGCACAAGTGTACCATCCGGGCTACATGTATGTGCAGCATTATGACTGCCGTGTGAAGATACATGTACATGTATGTACTGTGCACATTAGCCATTGGCGGACTATGCTCGGCCAATCGTCAAATTATGCTTTTGATTATGCCACAATTATGCCAACAAATATGCTGAATTATGCTCGGTTCCACTATGTATTCACGCTGTACATAGAGGATTGAGAAACCACGCATACACACACGGCCATGCCCTAAGCATAATTTTTTGTCTAAACCGAAAGATTATGCCGACCTTACACGTTGGAATCCGTATATTATGCCGGAGCATAATTTTTTGACGAAATCCCAAGATTATGCCAAATATTATGCCGGCATAATCCGCCAAGGGCTAGTGCACATGGTAGATCTACAAAAGTCCTTTTACAAGGAGGATATCTTCCTTTTGCCAGCAGAGAGGGCTCAACCATGATAACGTGCAGCACTAGCATACATGTACATGTAAGTCCTTTTCATATAATTATGATATTGGACTTGGCAGACTCGAACTGGGCGGTAGTCAATAGTCAGTGTCATAGTTCGTAGAGTCGGTAGACCTCTAGCTCTACGTACCGTGACAGCGCCGAAGACAACGACTGACTGTCGCCTAGTGGCTAGCAGGGGCGTGCTCGGCCCCCCAATTAGGGGGGTGCACGGGAGCCGAGGGGAGCCCCCCCCCCGGCAATTTTCTGCAATTTGTTTGCATCCTTTCTTGAATTTTAGAGCATACTTGCATACATTACAATTGCAATTACCCAGATTGAAAATTTTTGGGGGGTGCACGTGCCCCCCGTGCCCATCGCCGAGCACGCGCCTGGCTAGTGTCCAATGGTGTCGGAGGACAGACTGAAACGAGACAGGACGCATCGACGGGGCATATTGGCAGGTGTCACTTTATGTACGCAAAAAGGGACGTCACGCACAGGTTTCTGGTTTAGCAGCGTCACATGACTCCTGTACCTGTGTAGGCTGTGGTCCTATGCTAGCGCTAGCATTCCACGGACATTGAATGACATCAGCAGATCAGGAGACACAGCACAGTTCATGAATTAGAATTTTCATAGTCGATACAATGCGAGTATTTCGTCGAGAGAAATAGGAAGAAAGAACTTTTGAAGAAGAATTTACGTCGCGAAGCACTCAATCTCTACCACCAGGTAATGAAGGAGTTCCTCGCCTGTCTGAAATAACCCAACAATGTTCTAGAAGTGGTTGTAGGAGAGTACCCCGAGAGGGGTGGAGCAGAATGGACGGCAGGCACCGAGCGTCCACGTCCGTCGACGTCAAGCTGGGGGTGGGAGCGGGCAGGCGACGGCCGTTGACTACTGGGTACTTGAGGAGCATGATGAGTGACACTATCCGGATTGGCCTGTATCTACTGATCATGGCGGGTGAGTACAGGCTTTTTCCAACTTCCCTTCTCTTGTTTTACCTTTCATGTATGCTTGTGTCCTGTGTGGATAACTTAGCGGTTGCGAGAAATCTATGTACTTCAAAAAAGAAGTATGCGGTGGGAAGTTATGCCTTATGGGAATCTAACCTGTGTCGTTCACCGAATCACGCGTATAGCCCCATACGTGTACATGTACCCTCGCCCTATCAGTATTCTTTGTGAAGGGGATAGTCACTGGCTGTTGCAGGTCAGACATTCACTCGCCGACATGCTGATCTGAAAGAATGAAAAATGGCGACTTCGTCGAAATGCCATTCAATCTGGTCGACCACAGCTTGTAATGCTTGCGCAGGAGAGCAATGACGTCACGGTGCATTCGTGCATGCGAACACCTAGTCTAGAAGTGTTGTTAGTGACGGTTTCACATGACTGTACATCATTCTATTGGTTGTTGAACCAACAGTAAATCAATCAGCAGCAGCAGTGGCAGCCGTCAGTTGGTCATTCAGCCACTCTGCGAGCACAATACAAATTATTTTGGACAATACTCTCTACGAGATCCTGGATTAAAATGTCCGCTCCAAATGCCGGAGCTCGCGCTTCCTGCCGACTGGCTTGATACTTTCTTCACCAATTACCGCCAATGTCGCAACATCTTAGTGAGATCCGGGATTGTCGCATGTGGATTGGTGACAACGGTCACTATTCTATCGATCTGGGTTCTCACAATCGGATAGTGAGCAGAACCGACCACACGCTGCAGTTGATTTTTTGATTGATATCTGCATGCGGAGCAGTTTTCCAAAATGCTATGCATTGCTCTGTTACTCAAATGTGCTTTGCAGGCGTGGGTTACTCCAGCAGTTCCCCGCCAACGTTTCTGGTCAAGCCACAGTCCTCATACACGT